CTGGACTGGGTTCTCTGTGTGGCTCTGGCTCCATCAGCATAGCTCCATGTGACTTGTCATCAAGAATGTCTCGCAGGGAGAGAGTGTACCCTGCAGGAGTTCCCAGAATCCTCAGGAGAAGGCCATGCCCACATAGAGGCTTAATGGCTATAACCTGATTGACAGGCTAGACTCTACCCACTTCCTCAAGTTGACAGTGGATTATGTAAGTACCACAGAGGGGTAATGGTTTAGTAAATACTAAAACAGCAACAAAGAAAAAACTAGCACAGGAAATTTTGTAGAAGAAACTAATATGCTTCTATAACAGACACATCTTGGAAACAGAAAGCATATTAAGAAAATGACAATAGAAGTGACCGCATTCATTTCTGACAAAATGGACTTTAAGGCAAAAACCAACAAGCACTGAGAGATAAGGGACTTCAAAAAGTTCGTGGAAAAATTCCACTTTTAATCCCATTTTTCCATAAACCTGTTAAAGCCCCCTCCTTTGAAGAGCCAATTGAACAAGAGAACATAAGCATAATAAGTATATATGCACCAATAAAAGCCTCAAAATAACTTTTAACAGAATTGAAGAGAAATGGATAACTCCACCTCTGAGAATTCACACCCTTTAAATGAAGGACAGAACAGACATTCAACAGGCAGAACTAAACGCCACAATCAACCAAATTCACACGGACAGAATCTTGCACCCAACAGTACCATGCTGTGTGTGAATCTTCAACATACAGATCGGAAAGACCACAAAAAAACAAGCCACAGTAAGTTTTAAGCATTGAAATAAACTACACAGCATTTTCTCAGATCACAATGCTTATAAAATTAGAAAGCAATAAAGGGAAAAAGCAAATACTTTGAAACAATAATTTTCTGCTTAGAAACTACTAGGTAGTAGAAATTAAAAATAACATTTAACATTCCCTTGAATCAAGTGAGAATGGAAACACAACATGCCAACCTTTGGGTCAGGACAAAAGCAGTACTTGGGGGGCAGCTGATAGCAATAAATGCACACATCAAAAAAGAGCCAAAATCAACACTTTATCCCAACATCTCCAACAGTCAGAAGCCAAGTAAGCCTCCTGTCATAGAGAAATAAGTAGAAAAAGAATCAGACTGGAAACATTGGTTCTTTACACACAAATGTTGGGTTGTCACAATAGAATCAACTGAACTAAAGCAATAACAACACTATGAAGAACGATAATCCAACAAATGTGAAAGCCTAGATGAAATGGACCAACTTCTAGAAACACACTACCTACCTAAACCAACTCAGACTGAAGTAGAAATTTAATCAGCTATAATGAAAGAAGAAATTGATTAGGTCATTAAAACACTCCCAACAACAAAAACATTCTGGGCCCAGGCAGCTGAAGAGGAACTGATACCAAACTATTCCAGAATATAGAATTGGATGGAATATGC